CTGTGTGGAGAGCAAGAATCAAGTCAAAGATTTGAAATATGAAGAAGCAAAAGGCACCCAACCGGAAAAGCAAAATGAAAAAAGAATCCAAAAATACGAAGATAGTGTAAGGAGTCTCTGGGACAGCTTCAAGCGCACCAACATCCGAATTATAGGGATGCCAGAAGAAGAGAGAGAGCAAGATATTAAAAACCTATTTGAAGAAATAATGACAGAAAACTTCTCATACCTGGTGAAAGAAATAGACTTATAAGTCCAGAAAGCACAGAGAACCCCAAAGAAGAAGAATCCAAAGAGGACCACACCAAGACACATCATAATTAAAGTGCCAAGGGCAAAAGACAAAGAGAGAATCTTAAAAGCAGCAAGAGAAAAATAGTCAGTTACCTCCAAGGGAGTACCCATAGGACTATCAGGTGATTTCTCAACAGAAACTTTGCAGGCCAGAGGGGAGAGGCAAGAAATATTCAAAGTGATGAATGCCAGGAACCTACAACCAAGATTACTCTATCCAGCAAAGCTATCATTTAGAATTGAAGGTCAGATAAAGAGCTTCACAGACAAGAAAAAGCTAAAGGAGTTCATCACCGCCAAACCAGTATTATATGAAATGCTGAAGGGTATTCTTTAAGAAGAGGAGGAAGAAGAAAAAGGTAAAGATAAAAATTATGAACAACAAAGCGACAGCAAATACATATCTATCAATGAGTGAATCTAAAAATTAAGTCAATAAAAAAAATCTGATGGACAGAATAAACTGGTGAATATAATAGAAGCAGGGACATAGAAAGGGAGTGGACTGCAATTCTTAGGGGGAAGGGGGAGTAAGGGGTGTGGGAAGAGATTGAACAAAAATTATACACGTATGAATGAGGACAGTGGTGGTGGGGGTAAGTGCATGGGGTGGTATGGGAACCAGTTGGAGGGAGATATGGGGGGAAAAAAGAGGAACATTTGGAATAATCTGAACAATAAAGATTTAGTTTTAAAAAAAAAGAAATTCGAGTATATTACTAGAACCACCCTTACCCCAACATTGCCAAACACTGATTACTTGAGGTCCTAAACAGTTGCTTCATGGTAAGGACTCAGAATTAACACAGTGAGTTTGATATGTTATTTCACAACTGCTTCTTAAGCACTAGAGTTCATTTTCTAGTGTAAAGTTTATTCTCCAAAATAGTTTAAACAACCCCATGAGTCTTGATCTCTTACTAGTTTAACAAGCCCTTTCATTACAAATAGTTTAAAGTAAATATCATTCCCATTCCCTATAAAAATTATCACAAACTCTGAGTCAATGAACTTTACTATACTTCTTTTTTTTTTTCTATACTTCTTGTTCTTAAAAAAAAATACTGGCTTAAATTTACCTGTCAGAAGTTCTTGTTGCTTCAATAAAATATTTCTTATTTCTTTTAACCATATCATCTTCACATCTATATTTGAAGCCTAAAGATTTTTTAAAAGGGAGAAGAAGAAGACATGTTTCTTCTAAAAAAAGATACTTTATATTAAACCAATGCAATTAAGTTTATCAAATATGAACCAGAACATAAGTCCTGAACCACCATATTCAAACTCTAACATTCTGATTCTTCAAACTTCTCAGAAGCAAATAAGCAACCATCAAATTAGATGAAATAATAGTCAAAACCATTTTGAAACTCCCTTTAAATAATAACATTCACACTAAATATGAAATATAATATCAGTTATTTTTCTTTGTAGGAGGGTTCTTTTAAAATATAAATGTTTTATGTTTAATTTTTGTAAAATAAAACAAGTCCTACTGTTTCTGAAAAGACAAACTAGATTACTATTGCAGAGTAATCTTGATAACTGATGGCAGCAAGCAAGCTTCCTTAAATATCCTCCCTTTACTTAAGAGATACATTTGTTTAAAGATAGCAAGAAGTCTTATAACTAAATCAAGCCAAGAAAACATATTTTTATGAAATTATAATCATCTAGTACAGAATTAAAACAAAGAAAAAGCATTGGACACTTTAAACAGATAACATCATGTTCACCTGTCACAAGTTGTGATACAAATAATTATTGAAACTACAACATACTCTTGAAATGTTCTCATTCCTCTACCCTTCACTCAAACAGGTTGGACCTTACAGCACATATGGCCAGAGATTTAACCATAGTCTTCAGTAACACAGATCAAGTGTCTATCGGCACATTGCTCTGTCTTGTAATCAGGTACTCTCTGAGTGCCAAGCACAAGAGGAACTCAGAACTGTTATGAATTTGTAACTCTAGAAACCTGATGGGGAAAGAGAAGCACCTGCTAAGCTCTTGGCTATCAGCTATAGTTGATAAATCTCCTAGTGTGGTTTTGTGAAAACTTAAAGCCCTAGAAAGCACCATAGGCATGTGTCATTTAAAAAAAAAAAAGCCTGTTACTGAAAAAATGTTAAACCATACCAGAAAAAAATAATAACTAAATAATATTTAAGTGACCTACATGAAAGGAATGAGGCATTTTATAATGTAACCAAAATGATTTTTAGAAAAAATTTTAAATTACCAACCTGGACAATATAAATTTCTTCTTTCCCAGCATACCAGATTTCAAACTTGCGGTTATCTCCTTTTACATATTCAGTGATTCCAACTTCATCCATCTATAAAATATAAGTCAAAATTTTCATGAGCATTTTGAATACGAAATTACATTAAACCTACCCCCATCATATTCTAAATAAAATTTCTCACTTGGGCAAAATACACATTTTATATTCAAAAAATATGAAATTATATGAAATGATATTTCAATCACAGACCTGAATATTTAAATGTTTTCAGTGAACTATGCACTTATTGTGCAAATTGCATGCCCCATTCCAGTGATTGAACCAAAGGTTATATATCTGAACATTCAAGTAGTCCATCTAAGATTGAAATCTGTTATAAATTAACTGTATACTCTGAAAACAAATTATGTCAAAAAGAAGTAAAAGTAAGCAACATCTGTGTTAAAAGGTCATCCAACATTAATTAAAATAGTTATTTTTAACAACTATTTTGCAAAATAAGTTAACCTTACAACTTATTACTTATCTCTATAGAAATCCTATAAGTTACAAACATCTGATTTATGGGGTATGGGAAAACCAGCCAGGCACACAATGAGTCCCTCCAGTTCCACTATTCACTCAGCCTTTCTAGAAAACAAATAATCTGTCATGGGAGAATGATGTCTTTTTATAGCCAGTAAAATTTTTATATATAATATCCATTCCTTATCACAGTTTTTCTTGTCTTCCATATGATTGTGCAAAGCACAATCTCTTCCATTTTCATTCATTCTGTGCTACTTATAGCACTGTTAATTCCATTTTGAGCAATTTTACTCCCTTTTACACACATTCTTCTTTAATCCCCTTTTCCCTTCTCTTTTCTTTCAATTCTTGCCCAGTTATCTAAAAGGAATATCTTACTTTTTGTTCCTTTTATGAGCCCTACAAATGACCCTATTTAGGGCTGATAAGCATTCAAAGTAATGCTAGTGAGATCTCCATATCAAGGAAAATAAAAAGGATTATACTTAGAAATGAAATGTGACGTATAAATGAAAGAGCCTGTGGCATCTACCCTGAATGTAGTCAGAAATTACTTTCTCAATGTCCAAAAATATCTTTATATTCCTATTCAATCACTCTAACCTACTTTTGCTTAAATATCAGAATTTAAAATAATATCATATTCAATGTCTATTTAAATTAACTTCACTTCAATACATTACTTTGTCCCAATAGCATGATAAGATGGAAAGCACAAGGGCTTTGGAGTCCAAGAGGCTGGGATTGGAATTGCATCTCTACCACTTAATAGTTATGTTTCTTGGTGCAAGTTGCTTAACCTTTCTGAACTTAAGTTTCCTCAACTATAAAATGGGGAGAATACCTATTGCATAGAGTTGATATAGGATTAAATAGCAGGCATTAAATGCTTTGGTCATACAATGAGTTTTATAAAGTATGAGTTTGCTTTCTCAACTTCATTACAACACATACAATGTATCATTATACATTAAATGAGATTTTTCCAAGTTACCCTGGAAATGTAACCATTATATTTATCAGGCAATATTATTCTCAGTTCCAAATTACATGTATACAGAATATTGGTATACATTTATCAAGAACACACAACTGGACAGTATATATCAAATAAATTAGAATGGTTGCTACAGGGGTAGAGAGGAGGCAAGTGTGGAGAATGGGGAGTAAAAAAGAATGAATGAAGGAAAGAAAGAAAGAATGAATGAACATGAACAGGCTTCCTACCTTGGTGTAGTGATTGAGAGCATAGACTATAGAGCAATCTGCCTGGGTCTGAAGCTGCACTGCACCAGCTACGTGGCTCGTGGGTAAGTTATCACTCTGGAACTTAGCTTTCCCATTCACAAAATTGGAATAATAGGTTACTAATAGTTCCCACTTATATAAAATTGCTATGTGGATCAAATGAGTTAACAATATTTATAAACACTCAGAACAATTCATAGCACATAGTAAGCATTGTGTGCTATGTTATTTTTTTTAATAGATGATAGCCCTTGCCAGTGTGGCTCAGTTGGCTGAGCACCATCATCTTGTGCACCAAAAGGTCATCAGTCAGGGCATATAGCCAGGTTGCAAGTTTGATCCCCAGTCCGGCAGGTGTGTACAGGAGGCAACAAATCCGTGTTTCTCTCTCACATCGACATTTCTCTCTCTCAAAAAAAATCAATAAATACATATTTTTTTAAAAAAATAGATGATAATAAATGCATGAACTGAAGTCTCTGAAGAACTCAAATCTCTTCATCTGATTAACCTTAGGGACCTTTCTTTGCATAGAAAGGGCCAACTTAAAATATAGTACACAATTATTAGAAAGTAGACTAGGAATCTGAAGATGGCGGCGATATAGGCAGACGCGTCCCAGGTCGTGTCCCTGAGCAAATGGAGTGAGCAGCTGAAACTAATAGCACCCACCCCGAATTGGCGAAAGGGCTCAGCTGGTG